ACATAGCTAGAGAATAAGCAAATAGTACTAGTGACCATTCTGAATGACAGTAAAAAACAAAACTGCCCCTATTAAAAAGACTGAATTGGGATATTCAAGTAAAACTTAATGAATTTTCTTTCCAAGCAGATATCAGTCATCAAGACCCTATTATAAGGGGAAAAAATTAAAGCTTCATGATTCTGGCACTTAAAGTTTTAATGTAGCCTTAAATTCATTTCACAAAGGTATATTTGAAAATCTGCAATATCAGAGTAAATAATTTAAAGCAATATTCTGCTAAAATGACTATCAAAATTCATGGCAATAAAAATTTTCAGCTCATCGTAGAGACATTGCTATGCAAACACATTATCAAAGCTATCTTAGCAATTCTCAATATACATATTCTTATTTAAATAACTCACTGTACCTTCAATAACTCTTGAATCTTTCTCATTCTAAATCCTAAACAAGCAAATCCAGATCATTCCAATAGTTGACATTATGAGAAAGATACCATTCAGTAACTATAAAAAGTCTGAAACAGAAGTGTGCATTTAAAATCATAGTCTCCCATTCTATTCCAACCTTACAGAAGGTCACAGGGATTCAACCTTATAGAAGGTCACAGGGATTCTCCTTGGTTACATTAAAATCATGCCTGAAAAGGAAACTCCTGTTGAGATCACTGCTTTCCTAAGTTCTCTCAAAATTTAAGATAGTAGCAGCACTCATAAGAACAATATGACATATTCTTTTAAATATCTCCTCACAATAATGTGTATATTACATTCTCAAATCCCCATTACAGGTAACTTGCCAGTTTTATAAGTTAGGAAATAGAGATCCATTCAGATGAGAAAGGTGCTGCAATGAGTACCTTTATGAGAACCAAGAAGTCAGCTAACCAAGAATTTACCTGTTAGACAATAACATCCTGACACTGTGGCAGGTAACAAAAAATTTGAACTTTTAAAAGAAACATTATGAAATTGTCAAAATGACAGCTGTCCATAAGAAAGAAATCCAGGATTTTAGCAAGTTACCAATAGAGGAGTTATAAACAGTATATAAACACTAGTTAAAACGAACCAGTACAGTGATTGCTCAGGGAATAATAAAGTAAATCCTGAATTGCAACTTTAAAATGTTGATAAGTAGGTGAGCAGGATTTAGGAAATCAGTTTTAGAAAACAAGGAAAGACAAAAGGAAAAAAAAGCAAGACAGGTTTAGAAGTTAGAGGCAGAACTAGAAATTTGGCAGTAAAACTTCTCATAAATCTTCAGATGCTTTCATTAGTAATTGAGTCATTTTATTTTTTCTTTCTTGAAAAGTTTGGAATGCTGTTATGAAAAGCAAAAATTAGATGTTCAATGAATTAAAAATTAGAAACAATCAAAATGTACTGCCCACCCAATTCTTCACCAAATCTGCATTTCCCCCTATAGTTTCTATTTTTGTCAGTGGTAAGATAATCCATGTATTTTCTGATCCAGAATCTTCCTCCATGCTCTTACCTGTCAACAAAATTCTTCAAAGTTACTACCTAAATATTTCTTGAACCTTCTCACTCCTTTCTGGTTCCACTTCAGTCCATGCTCTGGCCTCCTGATTGCTCTCAGGCTCATGAGTCTAATTCCTTTACCCCCACCCAGTAGCCAGCATGATCTTTCTAGAGAATTATGGCAGTCCATATAAAATTCTTCAGTGACTCTTCATAGCTTTCACAAAGGTATAAACTCATAGGTCCTGCCTGATTTTCTAGTTTCATCTCCACGATCCCACACAGATCCAGCAAGCTGAACAATATATTTTATATCATATATATTATATATGATATATTACAGTCCATGTTATGTTGTTCCTTCTGGCTACCAACTTGCCTATGTAACTGTCATCTGACTTTCAAACTTTTGCTCCCATGTATGTGATCATCTCCTCTAGAATACTTTCTTTAATCCTTGAGTATGATTTTGATGTCTTTTGTTGGCTCCCATCCCACAGCCTCAGGTGTAAAAGATTATAACTAGAAATGGATCTGAGAAGCATCAGTCAGGCAAATGTCCAGGACACCAATCTTCATGAACACAAACACTATTAGGAACACTGCAGATAGAGGACTGCTTGGACAAACTTCTAGGAATGAGAAGGTTAAAATGACCTGGAAATATTCTTGAACAGAAATAAGTGAACTCTAGGCTTCTTTTCAAAAGGGGTAAGTTTGATTGTCTCTGTGGTCTTGTTTTACTAAATGGGATATGCAAATTGGATTAGGAGACATCTTCCTGAGATATTAACTATTTTCTTGTTGCTAGGAAAATACCCAAAACACACAAGTTAAATGAGAAAAGGTTTATTTTATCTCAGTTTGTAGAGGTTTCAGTCCATGAAACCTGGCTCTAAGGCAAGAGGGCATGACAGTGGAGAAACAGTCCATGGGAAGGCAGGCAGAAAAAAAGCAGCAACAAGACTTCCTTTCGCTTTTTACTCCATGCAGGCAACAAGCTCATTGGTATTAGTACTACCCATTATCAAGGGTGGGCCTTCCCATGATCCACTTAAAACTCTGCTAAACCAATAAACCATTCAGTGGATTAATCTAGGTATCATGCCCTTAATCCAGTACCACACACTCATAATCCAACCACCTCCCTAACCTCCCATGAGCCCGAGGCTTTGGGAGAATATCTAGATATAAGCCATAACAGATGTTCTTCCCACTCTTCCCAGCACTGTTTGTAGGAGTATGCAAAACTATAATCTCTCTTCAAAGATTGAAACAAATACTAAAGAACAGCATTTTGAAGGGGCACTAGTATCCAATTAGTGTTCAAAGGGCATGCCATGTTTCGTTCTGGATCATAGTTAACACATTAGGTTGTAATAAGTTGAATTACTTGTGTAAGTTCTCCATAACCTTCCAAGGGTCAAGACTATGACTTTAAAAATTTTCAACCAAAGTGTGTAACCTTGAAGTGCAGTAAACTGACACCTGCACATGAAGATTTAGCAGTGTTTATCTAGCATTGTCTAGAATGACCTCTGAGTAAAATAAGTAAGATTGTGTCCACTACAGAAGCATATCTTATTGTGAAATAGGTGTGAATCAATGTGAGTAGAAAAGCCGTCATCACTATTCTCTCTTTGATTTGACTTCACATGTATTAAGTAAAGTACTGACTTCACTGCATTTCTTAGATAACTTCTGGTAAGAGATGAAGAGTCCTGGATGAAGTCCAAATCTGTAGTCACTGGCAAAATTTATAAACCATTACAGATCAATAAATTTATATTCTAGTCTGTACATTATTCTCTTACAATTAACATAACAGGATATCTAAATTTGATCAACTCTCCATCCATAAAATTAGTTTCTAAACCTCTCATTTGCCACATCTACCATCTGAGTTCTTGGGAAAATCATATAAAATGTGTAATGATTTTCAAAATTATAGTTTCTACTCTTTTTAACCTCATGATAAGAATGAGCTGCACATTTCAAAGGCTACTTGAGCTTCGACTGTTTTCTCCCTAAAATTTCATCTTGGTTGGTACTGCTTTTAGCCAGTAGAAGAAATTTTATGCTCTTGACCTGATTTAAACTAATATTTTCCTTCTCTTTCCTGCCAGTAGAATGTTATACTTAATTTTTCTCAAGAGAAAGATATTGTTTCTTCATAGCAAACAATAATATTTAATAGGCAAGGAGGTATCTCTTGAACTGATGGCTTTTTCTGGATAATATACAGAATTATGAAAATAAGCTATTAAGATGTTTTAGAATTGCCTTACATTATTTTTATAAAGAACTTTACACATTTGTGGAATTTACAAGAAGTGGTATATGATAATCATTCAGGTTGATTTTGGCAGTTGTTTAAATATTATGTCAACCAATTAAATTTAAAATCTCAAGCAAATTAGAGAAATAGTTCCAGAAAAAAGGTTAACGCCAAGGGCAAGTAAAATTATTTTCAAAAACTTATGTTACTTGTCATGAGCCTTATAAAACTCAAAAAAAATACGAATAATCTTAAATTGTCAAAATGAGAAATTGAATCATTTTAATCAGGCCATGCAACCAAGTGATATACTATTTGCTCTCACATATTTTCTGTTAAAGATTTGCAGATTCAGGGACTGGGGATTTAGCTCAGTGGTTTCGCCACCTGCTGCACAAGCTTAAGGACCCAAATTTGATCCCCTGTACCCCCCCCCAAAAAAAAGATTTGAAGATTCTGTTATGCTAAAATGAATCAGTTCTCAATCCCTTATCTAAATGTATAGGATAAATGTTTTAGAATTCAAAAATTTCCAGTTTTTAGAAAGGTTAAGATGTGTTTACTAAATACGCAGTATGCTGGAAGTGGCTCTTTAAAAAAACTGTGTATGTATACATAAATTTATTATAAATTTTATTGATTTTGATAGGGAAAAGTTTTAGATAACTTAATAGATTGAATATTAAGGTAGTTGTAGAAGCAAAATAAGTAATGTGTTCTTTTAAGATTTGCTTTTCCCATAACTCTTTGTTTGAGGTGAAGGTAATCTTTTTAACCAGTAACTTCATTAATCTAACAAAGTTGCAACGGCAGGGTGAATTTACAATGTATATGTGCTTATCTTGTGTCTGTGACTTGTAAATAGGAACTGAAACTGTATTTACACATCAAAGACCACTAGGGATGAGATAATGGCTAAAAAGGACATAAAAAGGGAAATGCTGAGCAAAGGGGTGCAGACCTAACCAGACCTGTTTCTGGCGGTCGACCCACTCACAAGTAGAAATTTTATTATTTTACCCAAATTCTGTGTCTCCATGTATTTCTTTCCAAGATTTCCAGAACATTTGGTTCCCTAACGGGGAATCAGGAATGAAATAGCCCTTTTGGGCATCGGCCCAAACCCCACCAGAGGGAGCAGCTGTCTCAAGAGGAAAGGCACACCCCTGGGACTAATTTCCTAGGCTCCCCAACAGGACACAGAGACCCGATCCCTGGCTGAGGATCGCCCAAACCTGAGATGGAAGATGACAGGAGGGCTGCTGCTCTTGGTGTGTCGTCTGTTTCTTTCGTTTGCTGGGTGAGAAACCCTGGGAAATCCCCTAGTCATTCACTTTCAGTTTCACCTTGTGAATTTGTATTTTGTAATTTTGGGCAAATACAGCACAGGAGCCTGATCACTCCTTGTTCTTTCCCATTTGGAAAGATATCTCCTCCCATTTGTTTTAGCTCATTTTGTGAACTTTGGGCAAAAACAGTGCAGGGGCCCAATCACCCCTTGTGCTTTGCCACTTGGGGAGGTAGCTTCTTTAATTTGTTTTGGTTAGTTAGGGGGTCACTGGGAGGGAATCTGATAACTTCCGAATAAATGTATGAGTGAAAGAGTTTTGGATAGCAGAGTGTGTGGAATGAGCTGCGGAACAAGGCAGAGGGAGGAAGCGCTTGGGCTTAAAGAGTCTTCCCGGAACTTGTGTGTAGTCAGTCTTTCAGTTCTGTGGTCATGTTTAACAAAGACACAACAGTGAGCTTACAACACAGCCCACCTTAGCCTGAACAGACCTTAAAATGGCCAAGAAGCCCGCAGCCAGGCAGGCAAGCGATCCCCCACCTTTGTCTTGCGTCTCCATACAAGGGTACCCACACACACAAACCAACACTCTGATCAGCCAACCGTGGAGACAGAAACATCTCATCCTGTTTTGGAATGCACGCTTAAGAATTTTAAGAAAGGTTTTACTGGAAATTATGGCATGAAGATAAAACTCCAAAACTTAGAACCTTTTGTGAGTTAGAATGGCCCAAGTTTTGCCTAGCTTGGTCAACTGAGAGATTCCCTACGTGAGGGTCTCGTCTGGCCCATCTGGCTAACATCTTCACCGCTCCTGAACAGGAAGATCCTGATCAATTTCCCTATATTGATTTAAGGCTCAAATTGTGCCACAGAATGCCTTCTTGGCTTCATATGTGCGCCCCGGAAGCAAAAAGCAATATCCTCATCCTCCGTCAGAAAGGGGTCAATGGTGAAAAGAAACCAGTCCTTTCAGATCCTGACCGAGAGAATTTAGACTTTCCCCCTCCTTTTGAGTTGCTAAACTCACAGGTTTGGAGGCGGTAGGGACAAAAACATGAGAACTACTTGGCTCTAGAGCACGAGGGGGCATGCTGTGGTCAGACTCAGAGAGGACTGAATAGGGCTTACATTCAAGTTGAAAAAAAAACTGAAAAGAGAAAATAAGTAATGGATTAAAAACAGCTAAAAAAAGAAAAAAAAAGCTCTGAAGGGCATAAAACAAAGCCAGAGAAAGAAATTTTATGAGTTACAAATTTTAGCTAATTGATAGATGTATCTGTGTTTCAGTTTGAGTTGATGTTTAATTGGTGTGCTTAAAGTATTTCTTGTACATTGCAAATTCTTCAATTGTAATTCAACTGTAATCATAGGGTTAACTTGCTCTTTTCTGTACTTTGTTGATTAAAAAAAAACCTCAAGGTTACTATCATTCTATTGGCAGCCAACCAAATTTAAAGTGTAACAATTCTAGAAAAAGGGACACTTTAGAATTTAACAGCTAAAGACAAGTTTGTGATAAAAGGTCTGTAGTGAAATAAAGAATATTAAAAAGCTATAAGAGATACAATTTTGATATAAAAATTTTGTATGTTTGTCTTGTTAAAAAGATTAAAGAGATATACAAGACCAGAAGGCCTAGGTATGTCAAAAGATGTGCAAAAGTGATGTATCAAGAAAATAAGTATGTTTGTTGGTTTCAAGGTTGTTAAGAGAAGTTTAAATGTTTACACTGGTTGTCATCAAAGGGTTAAATTCTAAATATGTTACTATGTGTACATTGGTCATCTTCAAAGCGTTTAAGAGCCAGTAAGTTACAATATGACCTCCTCCTTTATAGTGAGTTAGAAAAAAAAAAGACTGTTGGAAAAAGGCACAAATATGTCAGACCAAGGTGCAGTATTTGAAATTTGACTGAAAAAAAAACAAAGGAGGCTAGGTCCAGCAAAAAGGAAAGTCATTTATTCTCTGCCAAGACCCGTCCAAAATGCTTCAATTACTTGATTCCATCCTACCCATTATCCTAATTGGGAGGACTGTAAAGAACTTTGTTAACCTCTAAAGAAATGCAGAGTTTTAGGAAAAATTTTAAAAAATCAATGCTCCTAGAATGCCAGCAGGCACACAAAATCCAGACACTTGACGTGACTAGCAATTTCCAGTGAATGAGTGGCCCAATTGGAACCCCAACACCCCAGGAGGCCAGGACAACTTAAGCAATTATCAGACAGCCCTCCTGGCAGGAATGTGAGCCGCAAGTAAAAGGCCTACAAATATGATTAAAAGTGCTAGAAACATGATAGGACCCCGATGAGAGCCCAGAGAGATTTTATGCATGGCTCTATAAAGTTTATAGAATGTGTAGACCTTTTGATCCTGCTGTTCCTGATAACCATCAGTTAATCAATATGACCTTTGTAACTCAGTCAGCTCCAGACACTAGAAGAAAGACTCACAAGCAAGAAACTTGGGAAGGCATGAATATAATGCAACTGCTGCAGTTAGCTAGAAAAGTGTATGTGAACAGAGTCAGCAAGAGAGAGAGAATAAGCAAGGAAGGAAGATGAGGTAAGAGAAAAGCCAGATACACAGCAGTGGTTATGGGAGCCAAGGAAGAGAGGGAGAAAAAAAGACAGGAAACAAAGTCTTAAATGTGAGGACTTAGATTGTGACCAGCATGCATATTACAGAAAGAAAGAACATTATAAAAACAAGTGCCCACAGCTCAAAGAAAAAAAAAGGCAGAAATTAAAGAAAAAAAAATCATTTACTTTGGGCTATATAGAACAAGCTTTTAAGAAACTGAAATTGACTTTAACAGCTGCCTCTGCTTTAGGCATACTGGATGTAAAGCTGCCTTTTGTTCTATACATGACTGAGAAGAACCATGTGGCCCTTGGAGTATTAACCCAAGAGGTAGGCCCATGGAACCAACCAATGGCATACTTGTCTAAAAATTTAGATCCAGTAGCAAGTGGGTGGCCTCTTTGCCTTCAGGCCTTGCTGGCCTCAGTTTCATTAATCCAAGAAGCAGACAAGCTAACTCTAGGTCAGGAACTGACTGGGTGGGTTCCACACGTGGTCTTGGAACTGTTGAACACAAGAGGGCATTGATGGCTCTCAATCGGGTTACTCAGTACCAAGCCCTTCTCTGTGAGAACCCCCATTTATGGTTTATTCCTGTAAAAGCTTTAAATCCTGCTACCTTCTTGCCGACAGAGACAGGCCCTCCCAATCATGACTGCTTGAGTGTTACCCATGAGCTCTTTTCCAGCCGCCCTCACCTACAAATGACACCGTTGTCCGATCCTGACCTCGTTCTGTTCACGGATGGGAGCATCTTCATGGAAGATGGGGTTCGTCATGCTGGACATGCAGTAACCATGAAGGATGAGGTGATCTTAGACCGGGCCCCTTCCTTAGTCGGCACAGTGTGCTAAGCTCTGGCCACTCATACAGGCACTCCAATGGGGAAAGGGTAAAAAGGTAAATATACATACAGACTTTCGCTATCCATTTGCTACATTACACACCATTGGCATGATTTACCGAGAGCCAGGTCTTCTCATGGCAGAAGGGAAGCTAATTAAAAATAAACAGGAAATTATACAGCTGCTAGAGGCAGTGTGGGAACATAGCAAAGTCACAGTAATATATTGTTCAGGATATCAGAAAGGCAAAGACTTCATTGCACAAGGTAACAATAAAGCTAATGCTGAAAGCCAAGAAAGACAACTCACTGAAAGCTCTGCTCTCACCACTCCAGAAGCTGGTGAGTCAACGCATGGCTGAAGAATGGAAGCACCAACAAGGACAACATGGATTATTGTGTTGTGCCAGATCACCAATGCTTTAAGTTACTTCGTTTTCAAACTGCAGGTGTTTAGGCCTAGTAATGAAAAGTTTGAACAATATGTCTTTTAAAACAGTAAAATGGAAACCAGAAGGCTATCCGTTTACAATATTCTTTGATGCCTGCCCCCCCCACAAAAAAATTATGGGGGACCTGGGGTAACTTCTGACTGTGGGGGGCTACCCTAATGAAAAATTATACTGCAAAGAAAAAACACAAGTTTGGATCAATGGCTCCCTTGTTGGACGAGCCACTGGTAATTGTAACAATTATAAACAAGGTCAATGTAATCCTATATCTATGTATATGCCAGCCCCATGGGATGTTATTTGGCTACAATGAGTAATATATTTCATTAGGACAAGAAATTTAAAAAGATCTTGAGGAAATTCAAGACACACTTCGGGCTTTAGAAACCCAACTAGATTCACTGTCTAATGTCATATTACAGAATAGGCGTGCTCTCGATTTGCTCACAGCCTAGAAAGAAGGGACTTGCTTATTTCTTGGTGAAGAGTGTTATGTTACTAAATCTGGTGTAGTACAAGAATCACTAGACAAACTAAAAGATCAGATCAAGGCTCTTGATGAGAAATTTGGTATAGGAGAGCTGTCCTACAGGATTAATTTTACTTGGGCAGGATGAAAAAAATTTGGATAGGACCTCTTCTGAGTCCCCTTCTTGTTATATTAATGTTTGGTCCTTGTGTCATTCAATGGATTTCAAAATTTATACAGTAGTGCAGTGCTGCAACACAACACTACCAAACACTACTGTTAAGAAATATAGATAAACTGGATAGAACTTATAATGGATAGAAGAATTATCCTGAAGTAAACAGAGGGAGGAATGATAGGGAAAAATTTTAGATAACTTAATAGATTGAATATTAAGGTAACTGTAGAAGCAAAATAAGTAACACGTTCTTTTAAGATTTGCTTTTCCCATAACTCTCCTTAAGGTGAAGGTAATCTCTTTAACCAGTAACTTCATTAACCTAACAAAGTTGCAATGCCAGGATGAATTTACAATGTGTATGTGCTTATCTTGTATCTGTGACTTGTAAATAGGAACTGGAATTGTATTTACACATCAAAGACGACTAGGGATGAGATAATGGCTAAAAAGGGAAATGCTGAACAAAGGGGCACGGATACCAACCAGATCTGTTTCTGGCGGTCGCGCCTGCTTGCCAGTAGAAATTTTATTATTTTACCCGAATTCTGTGTCTCTGTGTATTTCTTTCCAATATCTCCAGAATATAAACGTGTAACACATTACAAGTTAAATAATACTCTTACTATAAATTCTACACAGCCAACTGATTTTCAGCTAACGCTTTCATCAGTTTTTGCCTCTTGTATCTATAGACAACCTTGTAATTGATGAAGGAATGTACTTCAGTGATAAATATTAGCTGGTATTTTCCTTTATTTTTAAACCTTTATTTGGATTTACTCTTTTCCTAGCATACTTCAGTGATTACTCATTTATGTTATGTGTATTAAGCATACATATCTAGATATCTAATTATACATTTATCTCTAGGCAGATAGACATGTATACATATTAAATAAATGCAATTCCGCCCATGTACTTCTAAAGCCTACTGTGGACAGAAATTTTATACTATATAATCTCCCTTTAAACAGAATAGAGGGCTCCAAGAGGAACATTTTCAAAAAAAAGATAAAATTGTTAGATAAGTTATGAATTCAGAATTGTTGACATCTGTTCATTTAGAAATAAGTATGGGAAGAATTTATTACATATACAGAAAGCTAAGCAAGTGGAATAGCCACTATAATTACTAACCCCAAACTGAAAATTTATAATTTTCTGTAATTCAAATGTAATACTCATAAGACATTCAAAAATGCAAACAGTAACACTGGTCTAATCCAACACGATAGTAGAATATAACATAAGGAAATGAGAAGGTATTGAGGCAGGACAGTAGAGTAGTACTAAATACTAACTTTCTATACAAAAATAACCATAGGTAATGTACAAAGCTAAAATGCACAGTAACAGCACAGAATGTTATCAGTAAATATGAAGGGAAATGCCAGCACACAGCTGATCTGAAAGTGCTTACATCTGGGGAGTGGGTATGAGAAGGGTACATTCAAGGATCTACAATTTTATATTTTATATTTACAAATACTTGATTTCTAAAAACTAGATATATGTTTAACTTTGTATTTTACAAAACGCACGTATTAAAAATAGAAATTTTGCTGACAAGAATATGAATGGTATAGCTGTCATGGGCAATTACTCAATAAAATTACAGTATGACTCAGCAACTCCACTTACGGTATATA